GGGGTTTCAGTGCGCAGGATGGGGCTGTGCCCGCACGGCCCCGGACAGGTGAGGCCGCCTTGCTATTAATATTATTATTAGCATTAGTAGTATTAATTATTATCTTACTGAACGGGACCCTGTTGCGTGCAGGCTCCCTCCTCTGCGCACCCGAGTGCAGCATCCAGCGCATGAAGACAAAACACCGGAATTAAGCCGTGCTGTAAAGACAGATCAGGTTTCAGAGGATGCACTTGTGCAGATGAAGAGTGAAGCGGCCAGCCCAGGTAGGCTTGTAAACAAACTCCATGGATGCTTCTCAGGTTGTGCTGCCAAGGACCTGTAGCTGCTCTAACTCTGCTCTCAGGACACTCGAACTCAAACGTGCACTAACACAAGGTGTCTGCTTAAATGGAAACAATTCGCTGTTAACACAGAGCCTTAGAGTCAGTTCCTTTTTACAGCTGCCTCCGCTCCTCACCTCTTCTTTGCTCTCACTGGGAGCTCAGACACCACCCTGCTTCTTTAAGGAAAGAGAGAAGAAATCAGATAAAACTGTCCATGCTGTCTTGTTGACATACACAGAGCCACCCTATGTTCATTTTCCTTAGGAAATAATATTTGGAAAAGTCTTATAAAGAAACTTGTGGAGGTCTGAAGGGAAAACCAGCTGCTCTGAGGTCTCTGTCACTGTAGCACTTAGAGATGAACAAAAAAGCCCAATTCACTAACGAAGCCTTTGTGCTTTGTTTTGCCTTGGAGTTCCAGGATTTTTCCACCAAAAAAGGAGGTGATGCTTGACGCTTTTTCTGCTTTCAAGATATTTCTGCAGTCTTGATTTCCTAAAGATTCTATGAGCACAATGAACTGTGAGGCTGTGCTGCAGCATCTCCTGCAGTGTCTTGTGTGATTTCTGTCCTGTAATTTTTTCAGAATATGCAGGAACTCTGAAACCTCCATCCCTCTGGCCAGCTGGGCAGAAAGACCTCTCCATGCCTTTGAAAGGAAAGGAACATCATCAACCTTTTTTCCTAAACCTTTCCTTGGGTCATTAACTAGAAAAGTAAATTATGTTGACCCTTTAACTCTCAAGAATGGTAAAACTCAAATGTTAACTCTCAAAATTTAGGCAGTTGTTGATAATTTAATGATGAGTTAGCGAGGCTCTTTACTCTTCATTCAAGAGACTGAAAAATTCAGACAAATTGGGTAGTTGCTATGATGGAACTAATTGGTAGAGCTACACAGAAATAAATAAATTTCTACAAATGTTTTATTTTCTCTTCAGAGATGAAGCACTGTGCCCTGTGACATTCACTTCTGCTGTTTGCACCACTGGAGGATGGCTGCCAGACTCTGTGAAAATGGCTCTGGTCAGTACCACAGCACCCACACCAGCCAACGTCTTGAAATCAGCTACATGCTGGTCCTGATTATGCTTGGAAAAGTCTTCCTTGATTTCTTCATGCTGCAAATGAAGGCAAAACCAGTGAAAGTCAGTTTTATGGGATACTTCTGCGTTTCAGTGGCACTTCTCGATTTCACACTGCTGCTGAGCCTGTGTTTCATTTTCTGTTTTGAGGACTTCGCACTGTGGGGTGTGAGGGTCACAGAGTACCACATCTGCCTCCTCACCCAGATCTGCTCCCTGACCTACGGCCTTGTGCCCTTCCCAGTGTACCTGCTGGCTGCTCTGGATTATTACAGCACCGTCTCCCACACATCCCAGCTCCCTACAAGAGCTCGGAAATTCCTTTATGGATTTGCCGTGGTGGTTATATGGATTTCTGGGTTTTTTTGCACTCTCCACGTTCCTGCTGTCTCTGAAGAGCTGGAGATGCAGAACAGTGTTTCCCCTTCCCAGTGCCCTGTGTCTGGCAGCTGGCAGAGCTCCTCGGTGTCGTGGGCCATGGTGCTGCTGCTGGGCACGGCTCTCCTGGCTCGCTGCAAGGAGGTGACAGCCATGCTGCTGTCTGCCAGGCTGCTCTCCTTGTCCAGCCAGCCTGTGCTCATGTTCCCCTACGTGCACGACAACACCACTTGCTGTAAGTGGCAGCTCCTGAGCAGGCTCCTCCTGTGTTTCCTTGGCACTTGGGCACCGTTTGTGGCTCTGCAGGTGGTGGTTGTGCTCCTGGGTGTGCAGATCCCGGCCTACGTGGAGATGAACGTGCCCTGGCTGTGCTTCATCAACAGCTTCCTCCTGGCAGCAGCCTACTGGTGCCGCTGCCACGATGTGGAGCTGACAGAGGAGGGCTGGAGCACAGACCCCTTTGTCAGCTGGAAATTCTGCTTTATGCCGTTCAACAATGAAAGCACAAAGGCAGCTGATAAGCCAGGCACAGTAATTGTCATCTGCTAACGATGCTGAAAGGGCTGCAAAGAGGCAGAACTGCTGTTGGGTGGCCAGGTCCTTACAGAAAACAAGGAAACATCTCCAGAGCTTCACTCCATCGAGTGTGCAGCAATACTCCAGTGAATATTGCACTGCAAGCACTGCCGGGCCAGGAATGCAACTTCAATTTACATGTTTTAAAAAAACACTGCTTATATAGGACAAGTTTTCAGTCATTTTTCGGACTAGAATTCTACACTTCCTTTAAATGGAATTATCTCAGGTTTTACAGTACAAAATGCAATAACGTCTTGAAGGCTGGAGTTACATACAGATGCTGACCTAAGGTTCAAATGACTTCTTGAAGTGTATTTTGTTGTTAAAATGTGGATTTTTGTCAGCTGGATGGAAGGTAAGGGTTGCTGTCTGTTTAACAAGAAATAACTTGTTTTAGTTAAAGTTATGACTCCTACAGGAATAGAAATTTTTATAGTACAAAACCAGTGCAAGATGTGCAACTTCCACAGCCTCAGAAGAGGTGCTGCTTCCTTGTTTCTTTGCTGCTGCTCCTCTAAGATACATGAATATATTAATAATTAAATAATTAAAGCAACAAGCATCAAGGTTGCTATACATAAATGCATGCCCAAGGTTAAAGAATGTTTCAAATTAATATATAGCTTATTTTGAAGCCAAAATTGCTTTAAAATAGTTAAATATGAAGTGGAACTAATTCAGCAGGGAAAGAATTAGACTTCTAGAAAAAATACTCTCAATTTTCAAATTCTTAGAGTTTTACAATGGACTTGATTGGATTTTGGGTAAGATAAATAAATGATACACAACCAAAGCAGACAAATGAAATTAGCATTTATTTCTGAAGCACTAAACTCACAATACAATGTTGTATTGAAAGAGAAACTAAGTAAATGATGCTATAGGTTGGTTAACTGTCCCCCAGACCCACAGGGAACAATGATTTCACACAAGAATACTCATTAAGAAAACTCTGCAGATAACAAAAGGTGCAATTACAAGCAAGTTTAAGCAGCATAGTATAAGGTGCTTTGTTTCAGCATTTGTAGGATGGATTCACCCATTAACAGACAGATTGAAGAAATGTCACTTTTACAGATCATAAATGAGAGAATCTAAAATTCATTCACATGCTAGTTGGCAATAGGAAAGTGCTTCTTAAAAAATGATTCACAAAGTGAAGATCATACTTTTACATAGCTCATTGTGTGCTCTTCAATTGTAAAATTTAAATTTTGGGTAATAATTTATTTTATATATCAATTCTAGAGATAGATTTAACTGCAGAATTTAATACTACATGGGTTAAACTTTCTTATAAAAGAATATTCCAGTATTTCACTCCATAAGAATACACAATAACATCTTGATCATAAATTAATCTTTGATTTCTGAAACATACCAAATCTGATTATTTTGATCTATTACTTCACCCCACATAGTGCTTCTTTCATCCACAAGCTGTGGTAAATTGCTTTGAGGTTTCTGTGATGTAATCAAAAGGGGATAAGCATTTTTCAGCAGTAGAAAATGGTTCTGGGGGAAATCCTGGTTAAAAGGCCATCAAAAGGACAGTAAATGATCAAAATCTGAATTTTAAAACTAGTGCAATAAGAGGAGGCAATGCTTAGCAATATAGTTTGAAGTGTTTGGCACTACAAATTATTTCATTTTTTATGCTGGAAAATGTACTTGGAGGAAATTCTATTTCCATGTTAAAAGTAGGAAAACAAATGCAATGTTAACTGGAAAAACAGCCCTAAGCAGTCTCTCCCTGCTCCCTCAAACTGGAATTGCTGTTAGTTGGTGCTGGAGATGCTGCAGGATAAACCATGGCTAAACACAGGGTTTGACACAGCATTTTTCAGGTTCTATAGAAACTGGACACCCACTGAAATGGGGCTGACAAAATATTTACAAAACCTAATTCCATTTAAAAATCAGCAAATACATCAACTATAGGAATGCACCAGGCATTTCAGAATCATGAAATAACTAATTCCTACAGACTGGGCAGGCAAGGGGAAATTCCTCTTTTAAAGTTTGTTCAACACCAGATGAAGGAAAAGCTATTTTCAAGTTCATTTCAGGTGTGTTTTGCATGGTAAGTCTCACCCTTCTGAATCACTAACATGCACAGAACTGGAACTGCAACCAGTTGGGTGAGGCTGCTGACATGTTTTATTTATCAGTGTGGTTCAGCTTCCCAAGGCCTAATTAAAGTTTACACAACCCCATCTGCCCTAACGTGCCAGAATTCCTGTAGCTGCTCAGTGCTCCTAAAGCCACTTGAAGTTTTTAACATTTTTTACAGGGAACCCACAACATGCAGCCAAAGCAAATATTAATGGATTGATCTTACATCACTGTATTACTTGTCAAATTTATTCTTTCTTACTTTTTGTGGAAAAGTGTCAACTTTTAGGCTGTCACCTCCATTGAGGAGGCAACAGTGGCACTGCAGGTCTCCAGCAACCTCCAGCCATGGTGCCTGAGCCTGCCAAGGGACTGTTTTAAAAGATATTTATGGTAACTCTGTTTGCCAGCCCACTTTTATCCTTGGCATTCATGGAGGGAGACCCCAGCTGTGCAGTGATCTCCATCCTACTGCCTTCCTAGAAATTGTTCTTTTCCTCTGCATTTTTTTTAACCTGGTGCTTCTGGGCAGTCCCAACCCTCCCTCTGTAGAACAGGGTGACAGCTTCACTGCCACAGAGGACAGAAGCTGTGCCAGGAACATGGAAATATCTGAAATAAATGAACTACAGATAACCACTGCTACAACTCCTCTGTACATCACTTCTTGTCTGTGCCAGCATCTAATGGCTTTACACCATTCAAATACCTTACAGTATGGATATTAATGCTAAGAGCAGCTAAAGTGTTAAACATTTATGGCAGACTTCTGTACTTTTCTCATTTAAAGAATCTCTTACAAGTCAACATTGATTTTAATGAGATATTCTATGTGTTTTCAACTCTGAATAGAGTATTTGGCACTCAATGATAAAACCCTTCCTCTTTACACACATGCATTCTGTAATACAAAGACTACTTGGAAAGGAAGCTGGGTGTGCAGAATCCCTCATTGTTCTTTCCAGAATTGAATTTGCAGAAGCTGCCAGAGGATGGGAGCATGCTGGCTGGGTAGTGGAGGACACCACAAGGCTTCCACAGGCTGCCCAGGCTTCACTCACAAAGCAGATCTACCTCACAAATCAAAGACCTTTGTACTTCAAGCCCAATCCCATAATCAGCACAGACACCCTGATGATTACCCAGCAACACCACAAGCCTGTCAACAACCCCACGTACCCAAGCAGCGCTTCATAAACACAATTAAATGCTCCTTCAGTGTTATGTATTGCACTTAAACAGTGTTTATCATCACAATTCTACAAATGCACAACTGTGCTCAAGTTACAATGACTTCTAAATGGAAAAAAAAAATCCTTTAAAATCTTGTTTTTCTAGCTCCTTACTCTAGAGAGTTATTTGGATAATTTAACAGGAATACTTGCTGGAAATGTAAAAAAAAATAACTTGAAATCTGTTCATTACACTGGCTCCCAGAATTGTGCTTCAGAAAAGTTAAATCCATGGCTACAAAAGCTGGACTATGAGCTTACTCCATATACCTGCAATTACCAGCATATTCATATCTCTGAACTTTGCTTTTTCCCTTCCACTTTGCTGTAAGAGATTAGAAAATACTATGCAACCTTCAAGTGAATGAGCAGGTGTGTGTTTTAGTGCAGGGGTGACACAAACATGCACAGCAGCTTGGGATGGAGCACACGTGGAAGTGCTGATTTGAGAGCCAGGGGTAAGGCAGCACCCCAAACTCCCCAGCCCCAGAGCTGACACCCAGCAGAGCAAAATGCCACTTTCAGAAGTGGGGAAGGAAATGTCAGATTTCCCAGGAGATGAAGATGGTAAAAACAAACCAGGCTGATTCTCATGGATTAGGAACTGTGTGCTCACTGCCTTGGGGCTCAGTCTGGGTCCCAGCCCTGACTCCATCAGCTCAGGCCAGGGACAGCTTCCTGAAAAACCCACACAGCTGCACTGGAGCATCACTACTGGCTCTTTTTCAAATGTCACCATTTGCAAGGCCATCCAGGTATGTAACTACATAGAACCTTTCAGGTCTAAGTAACCCCTCATGACTAAAGGTAAATTCTTTTAAAATAAATTTCATTTAGGCTCATCTTAAATGAGCTAAGCATTAAATGAATTTGAAATTTCTTTCTCCTTACAGCATTTCCTGTCTGAAACTACAGCTCACTATGCAAGACTGACTTGAAAATTAATTCACTATGAGCAATTAACACTTTACACTGAAATTATTCCTTGATAGCTGTGCTCATGCCTGTTCAAATCAGCATTGAATAGGAACAGGGTATTTAAAACAAAATACTAAAATATTAGCTTCTCTTCATCTCTAATAAACTAATTCAGGTGCATATTAAAAAACTACCCTAGACTGATTGCTTTGCACAGTCATTATCTGCAGCCTAGAACAATCAATGAGGAAATACCTGGTTAATGATGACAAATATATTTCTAAGGATATGCTAACAGGACATCTCTATACAAAACTGGTGAGAAAATAACCCTGCAAGCTTTTATACATGCTGAGGTTTAATATGAGCAGTCTCAGCACAATCAGAACTACTCATGTTATAAATTATGGGGATGTCTAATTATTTGCAAAACCAGGACACAACACAGCTGTCACTGAATTCCTTGATCACTCAGAGCTGTAGATTTGTCACTGTGTAAGAAATCTGTGGAGCTCTTGAGGTGGAAGTTTCTGCATGGATATTGTGATATCAGAATGAGAACATCCATCTGGAACTGGCAGCAGTTGTAGCTGCCATGCCAGGCAGTGCCACAGCACACCCAGCCCAGCCTCACACTGAACTTCCATCCCAATTACACTTCAGTGGTTTTGTACCTGAATATTTCCTTCCACTTCAAGATACAGAAATTATGCAAAAGCTGTCACAGATCTGCCCAAACAGTTGGTTTCACCCTTTAATCCTTTCCTCTTCCTGCCACATCTGCACTCACAAAGGAATTCAATCTGTTCTATCCAAAAGGCTGGATTCCTTTTTGGACAAAGCACAGGGGGAAGTCAGGGGGTAAATACCTGCTTTCACAGGAAAAAAATGAGGAAATGGATGCTTGCAGAACTCAAATGTTGTATTTGAATTGTCTCATTGACAAAAATCTAGCAAAGGCTTTACCCTCCATCAAGAACTTCATTTCTGGAAAAAATATGATGGGTTAGTGGGTAAAGAATGGATTTACAATGCAGCCTGTTCAAAACCCCTTCAGACACTCCCTGGTGAGCCAAAACTGGCACTTGGAGTCAGTGGAGGCAGCCAAGCCTCCTCAGGGGAGTGCCCTGCTCCTGCTGCAAAGCAGGGATGCTGATACAAGCCAGATGGATCAGGGGAGGCTGCACACCCCTTCTGATCATTCTTTAAAACCCCAAACAAACCCTGAAGCTGAGACAAGTGTCTCAGTTCTGTTCTATTGGATGAAATCCTGACAGACATTTTCAAGCCCAGTGCTCTGCAAAAGGGCCTTGCCCTGAGCTAATGCTGCAGTTTGCATTAAGGAGTAGGGTAGGATGGAGAGAGGTGCAGAAAAAGGAAGGGGAAAAGCCATGGAATGTATCTATCTCCCTTCTGACCTATTCCTACAGAAGCTGAAATACTGCAAACATTACTGTGAGGGGTAGCCTGCAACACCACAAGTCTGAATACAGAAAGCAAAATCCCAGGAAATAAAGAGAATAAGAAAGATTTCTTGTAGACATATCCTGTGGGAACAAGTGTTAAAATACACTTCAATCTTTAATACTTCTTCTTTTGCAAGAGGGTACAGGGTATGTGTAACATGTGGGAAAGCCATGGGAAATGGCAGTGTAAGCCTGGGAAAACCTCACCTATCTGAACAGCAAATGGTCAGTACATAAAATGGTTCTGGAGGACTCTAAGTATTATATTGCTTTTTGGAGAAAATTCATAAGCTTCCCAAGTAGACTTCAGTTGCACTTGGAAATTTTCCAGCCTACTTTCACACACAAGTGTGATTTTTAAAAAAAAAAATTTATTGACACAGCTACACTGGCAAACACTCCTGTACAAGTGCACTTCTATCAGCAGAGGATGGTATAGCTACGTCTGCTTTAAAGTTCCAGTTAATTGCCAAAATCACTGAAGAAGGAAAAAAACTTTCAATATGCATAAGGCCCACACTCCAAGCTGTTGCACTTATGAATATTTAAAGCATAACTCATTATCTGTGGCTCTCCCAAACCCACAGGGAATGTTACATACCAGATGTGCCTTACTGGGGTCTGCTCTGAGCTCCTGGCAGTGATGCAGGCTGAGCTGGACACAAACACTAATGCAGAAGCTCTCCTGAAAGCTGTCTAATAAAGCAAAATTAAAGCAGCCATGAAATTCTCATGCATGTAACACTGATTAACTACAGGTCTAAACAAGACCCCTAAGTCCACATTTTCTAGTACACCTTAAGCCATTATCAAAGCACATTTATGTATCCCTACTTTTTACATTGCCTAAGAACAGTACAATCAGAAGACAGATTAAAAATTAGCCAGTGAGATTTCTGTATAAAAATAATAAAACTTTAAGACAAAAGCCAAAGGATAAATATCTAAGATATCTTTAGTCTTCAGTTAGCTCATCAAAACAGAACATATCCTTTAGAACATATGTTACAGATATGCTACACTGTGTATCTTACAGAAATGCTACAAATGGGAACCCACTGTCTCCATCATTTGAATGTCTTTCAAATGAACATTAGCAAACATTGGAACTTCAACTAAGAAGTTTATTTTACAACAGTAACCAAAAATAGAAAAAAATAAAAACAAATTAGAAAGTGCTTAGCAACTTCCCTCCAAAATAAACCCAGGCATCAATTCATCCTCTAAAGCTTTGGTGCCATTTGGGTAGGGGTTCTCACCACAAACCAGCGTGCAGCTGCAAAGTGTTGTCCTAACTTGCAGCTTCAGTGGTTAATAAAAACATTAATAACATCTGCTATTAGCAAGCTCAAACAGCTGTAATTAAGAACAATGACTCTAATGTTGATCTCCAGAAGGTAATGGTAGAAAATCTGTTAGTGGAAACAAAGCAATAGTCTAATTAAAGGAAAATGAAGCACAGATTTTTCTGTATTTCAAATTTACTCTTTAAGGTCATCAGTTAAATAATATACATATTAATCTGTCTGTCACAAACCTGCCTTTTAGCCAGTGTATGTGCATTGACTCCTTTTGATCTAGGGCAGCAGTTCTCAAACTTTAGGTCAGTCCCTCTTCTCTTCAGGAATACTGTACAGCCCCCTGAATACCTCCCTACACAATCATATATTATGCATTAATTTGCATAAAATACAAAAAATACATTATTTGCAGACACGTACACATATTTAATTCCAATATACACAATGACTATCAGCACATGTACCCTTCTTTCCCTAAACAAGAGCTTAAGGATCCAGGTCTGTACAAAAGGGGAGTGGAGCTGCAAAAGGGAGGGAACAGAAGGACAAAACACATCCATGAACATCCGTGCACAGGTGGGGGAGGCAAAGGCCAAGAAGGTGCTGCTGCCTCAGAGCCCAGGCAGCTTCCAAGAGCATCAGTAACTGGGGAAATGTATTTGTTCCACAGAGTGGGAGAGAGGGCAGATGGAGGGGGACACAAAAATCCCACCCCCTGGGTCTGCAGCATCCAAGGCAAAATCTCCTGCCAGAGGGACAAAGCAGGGCCCCTGGATATTTCTCTGGCCTGCTCCTCCCAAATTTGCCCTAAACCAGGACATTCTCCCAGAGCTGCCAACACTGGCATTCCTCCTGCTGAGCTGCAGCTCCAGGCTCCCTCCTGGCAGCAGCAGCTCTGAGGGGGCCTCACTGCTCCTTCCTCAGAGCACTGCAAGCACAGCTCACAGCGGCCACTGCACAAGGAAAAGGTGCTTGGAAGCTTCCAGTGAGGCAATGGGAATGCACTACAGGGAAAGATGTTAGAAGAGGTATCAAGAAAAAGAACATCTGAGTTATGCTGTCCCTTCTCTACCCCCAGTCTCTAGAGCAACTTGTCTCAACATGAGCTGGTCCTGGCTGCAGTTTTCAGCCCCTCACACCCAGGCATTTGGGAACCTGAACCCCAAGAGCTCACACTCTTCCTCAAGGTCCATTCTGAACCCCCATTTGAGAACTGCTGGTCTAGCTTAACTAGCAGCATGTGAAACTACCAATCTAACACTTAATGCCCCCTTAGTGCATAGCAGCATTCAAAGAGTAAAGTAACATGTGCTTCAGTTACCTCTGGCAGGAGTGTCAGTAGCCTGATCATGAGGATTTTGATGAGACATCTACATGGTTTATAGTATTTTACAGACTTCAAGAAAATACTATAGTGGCAGAGATGAGGGTAAGCCTACATGAGGAAAACCAGCTGCCAACCTACCCCTTACAAACAATTTGCTCAAGACTAAAACAAACTCAGAGAGCACAACTAAATGCATAGCATTTTACTGGTACTAGTGCTTCCACAGGGCCTGTGGACACTTCTGTTAGTTCAGTCCAAACACTGCTGTATGTGGGAAAAATCTTTCAGAATACAGCAACACGATTTCAATGGTGTCTAGATTGGGGTGGGGACTGGGGTGTTAATCATAACTCATAAAATGAAGTACATGTTGGGAATATCTAACCTACCACAGCATATTTCACTTCATGTTTTTCCATGAAAAACTTCAACTCAAAGCATTACTCAGGCTTTACTATAAACTTATTAGTTGTTGAAAACTACAGAGGACTCCTGGTATAATCAAAGGAACATTTTAAAGTCTTTATGTGGGGAGAGTCCCACCTACTTAACAAAACATCACAGTAACACTCATGCCACAGTGAAGATGTTGGCATATTACTGTTGCTTCTGTCACTGAGAAACTCTTGTTTAAACCTTCATGTTCACCTCCTAGGATTCTTTCAAGGAATTGATACGTGCACAGATTTTCAATGCAGGTCCAAGCTTAATATTCATTGCACTCATAAGGTGATCCTCCTTCAACAAAAGGAGAGCTTGTCCATCAATTTCTTGTGCTCTAAATTCATCTGCAATATCTTGACAACCTAAAGGCAATAAAAAATATGATTACTGGTTTAGAAATGCCCATTCTTAGATCCAATGTCCCCACCAGAGCTTTTCAGCAATACATTTTCCAGTGCTCATCCCTTTAGATTGTTGAACCTAAATTACATGCACGAGTTCAGTATTATGATGGGAATTCTGAAATAACATGAAAATAATTTTTACTACAGCCTCTAATTACACTGTATTTACTGGAGAACTACTCATTGGGAATTTCAAGTCCCAGCAAAGACAGAATTTTCATTTCATTAAGAGGAACAACCTCTCATCATTGGAAGAGATTGGGAAAACAGCACTGAAATAGCAATCAGGAACATAATTCAAGTGGGTTCTTTCCAGCAATAAAAAGATACTATTATCTAATTCTATAAATGAGAACTATATTATACTGCTCTGTGCAGTGAGAACATCCAAACAGCTACAATTTCCAAAAGGAGTTAATTCCATCTGTGTGTGCCACCACAGAGCTCAGGAAACAAAGCTTTGATGTACGGGATTTGGCACAACCATGTCAGGAAGATATTTATCATTAGTTATCAGAGTCAATATTCTACACACAGCAGTAACTCACTTCACAAGGGCAACTTGAAACTGGTTGGATCTTTTTTCCCAAGTTAAACTCCTTTTCTCAACATGAAATACCAGTTTCAGGTTACTGAAAAAGATTCCACATAGGTTGGACTGTCCCAAGTAACTGAGGGCCCCTTTCCACAGAGGAACACTGGAAATAAAGGTTCCTCCAAAGATGTTCTGGATGTGTGCTGAGCAGGATCAGCCAGTTATGCCTGGCTCTATGGCAGCTCTGTTAGATGGATAAATGTTTTCTAACATCCATGAGAGCACTCATTGTCAGTTGTTTATTTGAAGCTTCTTTCCCCCAGCCATGTTTTTAATGGGTTTTTTAATACATTTGTGTTCTCAACCCAGCAGTCTCTCCATCTGTCTCAGAGCCTTTCAGACACACTTGCATTTGTGCTCCACCTTCCATTCCTGATGTCAACTATTCCTCAAGGAAGCTTATTTTTCAGCATTTTTACATTTTCCCTTTTAAAAAGTACACTATTATAGAGATATGAAATTACTGTGAATAACTTTTGTACCTAGATCACAGCAACTAATTTAATATTCTCTTGTGTGTTCAGATTTAAATTCCATAAAGAACAGACAGCCTAATTTCCTGAAGGATTTACAAATGTGTATAAGGCAAACAGAAAGGAAATGTGGAAGGATGTATCAACATCCAAAAATGAATTAATTTGGATTATTACTGTGTGAAGGTTGTAACATTCAAGGCTGGAAAAAGTTAGCTTCTCACAAAGAACAAAGCACATTTTTTCCCTTAATGATCTGTTAAACAGACTTCATGCAACATCAGCTCTGGCATCACCATAAAGGTTTTCTTACTGAAGTGCTGACAACAGATAAAGGATCTGTAAGTCAAGTATTGAATATTTCTGGGAAAGGTGTCATGGCATGTCTGATTTGAGACCTCAACATTGTGATTGTCAGATCACACCATTTACAAAGAGTCAGAGATCAGGAGAAGTTCTTACATTTAAGAACAAAACTGGTCCTACTGCAATAGGAAACTGGATGTTTGTTGTTGCCAGCTTTTTTCCTTTAAGCAATTTCCATGCGACTTCTTAAATATTTTTTATCAAAGTCGTTTTTGGAAAAGCAGAGCATGGAAGTTGAAGGTATTGCAGTTCCCACATCCAAGCACATCTGGGTATATTCTTAAGCACTTTTGCAATTGCTTGTTGTGCAATAGCTTGGCCAAAAGAAAAGGGTGGAGAGCTGGTGAAAGGTCATTTATCTTGCAGCTGAAGCCAGAAAGGAGAACAATTCTGTCAGCCTAAGTTGTTCTGTCTCTTTCCCCAGAAGAAGCAGCTAACAGGGCAAAAAAGTGTCCTGGACATTGACTTCTCCAAAAGGCTCCAGAGGAGCTCAGAAAAGCCTGACAAGGACACAAGTTCATTTCAGCTACAGACTGTGCAGAAAGCTGGAAATGAAAACAGATGTTCCTAATGTTTATGGAAAAGTGACAAATCACCATTTCCTACAGCATGGCAGATGGTCTGCACAGACTGCACCAAGTAGATATAGAATATAAAGAGCCATAATGGAAATCATCTGTATTATTTCCTGCACTAATCAATCTTGGAAGTATATGATAAAATATTTTTTCAAGAGAGCGACTTGAGAATATACTGAAAAGAATAAACCCCAAAATTACCCAAAAACCCAAATGCAGCAACATAGCAACAACAATTCTGGCAGGTTGTGAATATAACTTTAAATATCTATTGAACTTCTTTTCTAAAACAGTATTTGAGAAACTAGGCCTTCATATGGAGAGGAATGAGTAATTATAATAAATTTTCATTACATACAAATAAATATAAGTTTGTTTAAAATCAAAGATCACCTTTGTTTATAGAATCCAAAAAATGAAACCAGATCCAGCAGCTGGTGAAATATTGTAAAAGTAATGGTTTCAAAACAGAAAACACATTTTAAGAATAAAATTTTTGGTTTCATACTTGAAAGTGAATTGTGTTTATGTGGCACTTCAGTTATTCTAGCACAGGAACTACCATTTATTGAGAGCCTAGGATTAGTTACTGAATTAACCAGAGTCTTGAATCCATAAAAACAGTAACTGAAAACAGCAGTGACAGAGCTCCACTCCATAACACAGCTCAAGTACAGCAACAGAATGACCACATCCCAAACCTAAGGAGCTTTGCTTGTTTTTACAGCCATCACTGCAGGTTCCCAGAAGCTGAATTGTTACTGAATTGCAATAAACTATCAGAAGAAAGGTACTCCAAGGATGACTTTTGCCAATTTTAAACATCTCTTACACAATTCTTTGCCTGACCTACTACAAAGACTGTCTGTCACAATGCATGTGTATGACTTAGCAGTGAAGATATATTCCTTACAGGTTAATAGTCTAATGGGATTCACAAAAAATGGGATAGCATTCCAGAAAAAGTAGAAAACTAGAAACAAACATAGCCTGGGTTTTAATGGGTAAGCAACAAAAATTCTGGTATGACTGCTACTGTGGAGATCTGCCTTGTTATCTGTAGGGATTACAGTGTCTGATCAGATAAAATGGCATCCTTGGGAAAAGGCTGGGAGTGAAGCTTTAAAGGTTATGAGAGTTAGGAAATTATAAATGTCAAATAACCTGAAGATGACATAAAGGTAACGGTGAATATTGATCTAAAGGAAAGGTTTGTGAACAAGGAAAAAACCATATTCTTTTTTTCTGAGAACAAACTGAGACTAGCAGCATGCTGAGTTTCTAGGCAGAAGACCTCTGAGCAAAGCTGCAAAACAAATTTTAACTTTCTAGCAGAAACTTGCTTATTCTTTTTTAATGACTTGTATCATGCCAGGTGTTTCAAACTTTTCAGTTGTATCAAGGGAAGGAACACTGCTCTTGTGAATAAGCAGCAAGGAAGGAAGAAAGAGAAGGAGGAAGTGAGAAAGGAAGAGAAGAAAGCAGCGTAACAGGGAGGGAGCGTGTCTGATCTCTCTACTGACCTCTTGAGAGAAGTCAGACTGAAGGAAGGAACAGCTCTAATCTCCATCAGCTGCGATGCAACAGCAGAAGTGGGACTAGTTCTATCAACATGGGATTTGTGCTGAAGGAACAAGCAAGAGGAAACAAATCACATTCCAGTCTCTATCACCAGCTAACACTGCTGCTGTTACCACAGCACCTCCTCATCACAGTGCTGCTAGAAAGCAAGGAACATCACTGTTAAAACAAGAGAACAAGTTATTGCCCCTTCCATACCAGGCAGAGAATGTATAAAGGCCCAGACTTCATCGACAGTCCACACTGAGGGGTCAGTCTGCACCACAGGTAAGAGGTCGATGCTCTCTGGCACTTTCCTCATCCTCAGCTCCCGCAGCTCCCGCTCCCTCTCGCTCTGCCTCCGCAGGCGCGTGGTCATGGCCGTCGGAACAGCGTCTTCGTGAGGAGCCAGATCTTCTTCTGCAGATGGATAAGTAATTGGAAGCTGGAAAACGCAGCAACTCCAGTATTAGGCTTTATTTGCAATTCCCAAAGCAGTGCCATAGTTTTAAGCAAATATTCCACAGACCTGTCTAAGAAAATGATCTCGTGACGCCCCCTCAGGGCCGCTCGGCCGACGCCCGCGCCGCCCAAGACTTTGGCTATCTGACTTCCGATTCCAACGACTGGTCTTGTCTGATGGAAACAGCCCAAATTTCTTAGTGCAACTAAGGCTGTGCCTAAAGAAGTAAGATATATTCAATAATGCACTAGTGGTTTTTTGGACTGAATTCAATCAAGTTACCATCAAATCACAGTGTTGTAGAAATGCTGCTTAATTACAACAACAGCTGTCACAGAAATACAAGAGGAAGGTGTCTCAAAGGCCATTTCATCAAAACCTTAATCTCATTGTGGGATCAAGTACATCCAGATTACCTCTGGAAGATGTCTGTCCTTCCCATTCTTAGAAATACCTTTGCATTTTATCACATAGTACAGTTCTGCTCTGAAATGTCCACTAAAAACCTAAAATCACATTGTATTTTCTGGTTCCATTTTCTCTACCTAGCTGATACCCAGGCAAAGCAGGATAAAAGCAAAAATCCCATGCTAAAACAAAAGGACTAAATCTCTTTAAGATTATTTTGCTGGTGGTGTCCCAAGAAATACCAAATCAAACATATATATATTCCCACTACCTAAATGGGAACATAGCAGACATATGAGAAAGGTCATGTCCAGACACACTGATGCCAAAGAAGAGCTAAGTGGTGACAAGAAATAGGAAATTATTCCCCATTTCTAAAACTTATTGTATTAAACATCAACTTTCCAGTTGTTATAATAGAAGATTTTGCATTCAGATGTTGACTGTGAATTCTTGCTCTCTTAACCAGGAGGAATTAATCCATTAGCCAGATAATTATAAACAATAACTACATAAAGTTACCTTTTGGCACAGGATGTGGAGCAGAATCTTTTTGACCGCAGAAACTTATTGGGATATCCCATTTTTCCACAAAATTCACACTTCAGAAGATCATTTTCAATTTCATCCAGTCCCTCTAAAGAATGAATGAGGAATAAAGTCAGTTTAAACAACACAATATTATGTTCACATCTCTCACCTCAAGGAGGGAAAAGATCTTCAAATATTTAACACATTCAATTAAATACTTTGATTAACAAACAATTATGTAAATCTAAGCAAGTCATAGATTTCATTCTGTCTAGAAAACATCTTGAGCAAACTGAACCTTAATGACCCCTGAATTAAGTTATTCAATGAACTTAATCAGTTTTTTGTTGAATTTCAAGCCACCCAGGAGCAGGTCTGCCCTCAAACATAGAAAGCAATTAAAATAGAAGGGTAACATTCCTCATGAATTGCTTCATAAAGAATTCATTAAGAGAATCAGGCCTTCCACAGTATAAATGCAAACTCTCTGTAACAGCATAATGAATTAATCTTTTAAAGTATTTTCTTTGAAGAAGCAGCTGCTACAACCAAAGGGACTTGTGAAAGCAAAGAACACATTGAATCTTCTATATATTTTACATTCAATCTATGAAAAAGATAAGCTGCATGCAACAAAGAAAAGGGTTATTGCATCTGCTAATTTACAGCTTATTGTTACAGAGTATTTTCTCTTGTTGATGAGATAAACTGGCCCTTTCCCTGCTCTACAAAAAGCACCAGTGCAGCAAAGAGCTGGAAATACTGAGCAGGTATTTCTGCCACACACACAATCATACCCTGATTTACTATCAGCAAATCTCCTCCACTCACGTGATGTGTACGTGGATGTGTCTCGGTGTTGGATGTTACCTACCAGCTCATCTAATGAGTAGTTACAAATTCTCTACATAAACCCAACACCAGCTGCAAGGAGCTAAACAAAAACTAAACCCAAAACTTTGAGTGTTTGGATAATTCCACAAAACAGACAAGCTGTCTGAAATCTGAGACTCAGCATAGTGCTCATACTGAAAAGAAATTTGAATTAATATCTAATGAAACAAATTATGGACAAAATGACTGCTGCAAAGAGTTTTGATATGGAAGAAGGAATAGAAATATTTTAAGAGAATGAAAGACTTTCATTGAGACTAAATTTAAGCAGATCACCAAAACCAGCTCTGATACTATAAGGATACAAGCTGTGGGAAAGAAAACCCAGGGGTGGCTAAAAAAATTCTGAACTTTCAAATCTTAGATGAATTTATACAAAAATGTGTGTTCACAGAATAACTTGGTTTCTCTGGGCCAGGCCACAGTTTGATTCCCATTTCATAGCACACAGAACTGGAGGGGGGAAATGGCATTTAAGCAAAAACTACAAACCTTCTGCAATCATATCCTCTATCTCTGTGTCTGAGGAGTTGTCTGCATGTTTTGTGTTCTGCAGGTCTGATTCAACACACACCACACTCATGATCTGACCCTCCACCAGCAATCTCTTCTCTGCAGGCTGCTCCACCAGCAAAGATGAACGACTGACCTAGTGCAACAAAAGCAAAGCAACTGTGGGTAATTAACATTATTCACAAGAGTGAATTATTACAAACAATATTTGTTTGCAATTTTCTCAGTAGAAGATGATCAGTTTCTACCTCATATCAATGAAGTGTAATTATATCGTAACAAAGCTCATTTCTCAAATAAATTAAGACTCACTCCTGCTCTGCAGAGTTTGCAATTATATTTAACAAAGGGAGAAACACATTATATCTACAGAAATGAAGGAATGGGAAAATGAGACACACATTAAATTAGAAAGACAGGCTTTAAATTGCCAGTTTGTGATTTAAAATTTTCAACAGTGCTTCTTACCAGACACTGCACTAATTACACCTAGCCCAGTTAAGGCTTGCCAGTGCGTAAAACAACAAATTGTAGCAGTTTAAAATTTTAACAGACTCAGCTCTGAGGTTCAAATTAAGGTATCACTTAAATAGAGGGATCTAGGAGGCAAACAAATGTTAAAAAGTTATTCCAAGTGGTAGCCTAAACCCACTCTCTGTAGTTAACTCCAGACATAGCCTACTACTACTCAAGTCACCAATCAGTGGAGAGAAGGTCAAAACCAACATCTGAAACAGAAATTCCAGATCTAAATATCAACTAGCCACAAATAACATCATTCTAACAAAGATTAAATTTCAAAGATTAGTAGTAAAAAATTCCTAGCAAATTTAGACTTACAGGGAATGGCTCCAAGCCCTCCTGAATGACAAAGCCCTCGATGACGTGGGTCAGGATCTGGGGTTTGACAATAGCCTGGGGAGGTTTGTTTTCTAGGCTGGGAATGCTATTGGGCAGGGAGGTGCTGTTGCTCCTTGTCGTTGCTGCTGGAAGCAAAAGAGGGGGTGGTGGAATAGAGGCATGGGAAGGATCAGATGGAGATTTAATTACTGAGGCACTGACTGATGATGTCACTGAAGGCAGTCCCCCATGTTCTGCAAAAAATAACAAAATATGTTATGTTTTATCACTCATGTCCAACCATTGGCTCAGAATCAGGAAATAAGAGGTGATAAATCCCCAAGACCCATCTCTGCACCCATCAACCCCTAACACAGGCTCTTCCCTAGGCTTCACAGATTCCACTTTTAAAACAAGATGGTTTATCTCAACAGACTGTTCCCCAAACACACCCTCCTCATGCAAACACCTTCCTTTACTCAGTACCTGCTAGCTACAAACATAGTTGCCCATTAATTACTCACACAAATCACAAAACCAAAAGCTATCTTAGCCTGGCATTTGTCCTCACCTGACAAAGGATCTTCTGAACTGAGAGCCTCTCCATTGCCCAGGGTGATGGCAGGTGGGGACAGGGTGGGTGGTGTAGGTGTTCTCGCCATGTGCACACAATCCGAGTCCTCAGGCATCTCCTCCTCACACACATTCTCCACTTGGTAAATCTGCATCCAACAAACTATTGCTTTAGAGAGATTTCCATTCTATCTTAACACCTTAAAAGAGCTGCATAAATACAGTTTTAAAAATCAATTACCAGGTCAAATATGTTAGTCTTCTAATAAAATACTAGTTCTCAAAATGCATACCAAACAATAAACTCTGAGGACATCACAATATCTATGACAGCAAAACTGAAGCATTTTGTTACAAACATCAATACACAAAGAAGCTCCAATCAAACAGAGCAGAGAACCTGTTTCAATACCTTATGTGTATAGTTTACTGTTCTTTTTATTTACACATACATTTGATGTTATTTAAATCCATCTGCAAAATGCAAGTTTAATGACAAGTCTGCAAATTGTTCTATCTTATACAGCAGTGTAATCAAGCTGAGTATTTCAGAAAAGTACACCAAGACTATCAAGCATTAGTGGTTATAAGAGGTTTTAAGGTCTTTCCCTCAAAAGTATTGAAATAAATTTACATAAATTCCTGACAGTAGATTAAAATGTAAAATACCACCCTGTCAAAAGCAAACCTGGCTCCTACTCTTTTGTCCAATTTCTCCATGAAATACCAGAGTTGAGATTATTACCCTCTTAAAATAAACTGAAAATGAGCAGCACACCTCCTTCCTTAACCTGTTGATAGCCTCAAAACAGCCTACAAGAGCTGCTGATTCTTTTGCTCATCTCAATCTCATTTAGCATTTTACCATTAAAGCCCAGCAACGCCATCTTAAATGTCAGCCTTATTTGCATAACATTTTATTTTCCTGTACATCATTTTAATCTACTGATTGAAGGCAAAACCCTCAATTACAAATTGCAGACATCTGAGAAACACTGGACCAAATTAAATGGTGGTGATGGGAATTGCCAAAACAGCATCAAAATTTCCCTATTCTTTTATGAAGAAGATATTATTTTAATGTTAGTACAAAATAAATAATCCAGAAACCTATAATCTTAATAACCTGATATGCACCTCCCACCTAGTATAGATTGTTCTCCTAATCAAAATCTGTTTGTATTGAGGTAAAAGTTTACAGTCCTCATGTCACATTTACCAAAATTCTTTATATAAGCATTGTCATATGTTTACTTTTTTAAACTTCAAACACATTGTAATTTCGTTAAGAAACAAGATTTTAGATCTTAAATTTACACTTTCATGATTCCTGATTGATACTCTTGACTGATGATCCATCACAAAAAAGCCAACAAAAAAAAACCCAAACCAAAACATGAAACAGAAGGAAAACGTCTAGGATTGTCTTAAACCTCCGTTCTGTAATCATTAGGTGTCTTGTCCCCTGTCTAGCACCTGATTCAGGTCGCTTTGAAGCCAATGAACCCGACTCAGGGAAAGAATGAAGGATGCAATGTCATCACTCACCACTGGAGTTTCAATCGGAACTGACGGCTGCACCTGCAGATTTACTGCGACGGTCTGTGGCGGTGGAAGAGTTTGAAATGGCAGCTGGACCAAAGCCTCTGCAGCAGGAAGTTCCTCTTCAGAAACCAAAGTGTTTTGAACCAAAACCTGGCCCTGGGACAGAATTTCAGGCTGCACTTGTAAAGACTGCACAGACTGCAGGGGCAGCGGCTGAATCTGAGTTGAGGATGCCGAGAGCTGAGGCGGAGCCGCCAGAGGGATGGGAGCGGATTGCAGGGCTGGGTACTGCTGGTGTGGCGTGGAGGACACGAGCTGCTGGCCCGGGGACACCAAGGCGGGCGGCTCCACGGCCCCGATGTGCACGGCGGGCGAGGGCGGCAGCGGCAGGTGCTGCGGGAGGCTGAGCGGCTGCGAGGGCCGCGCGGGGTTGGCGGCGGCCGCCGCGGGAGCGGCCGGCTCGGCCTGCAGAGCCGCGGGCACCAGGGAGCTGGCCTGGGACTGGATAAGGGCTTGAGGGTGAATAATTATGGTGGGCGACTGACTCGGGGAGTGCGACGGCGGAGGGGACACCACCACGGACTGCTGAGCTGACTGGGACGGGGTGGGGGAGAGCGTGAGCGGCGGAGGGTGGATGTGGATGGGGGAGCAGTGGGACGGGGCGCCGCCGGGCGCGTGGCTGGGCAGCGGCAGGCAGTGCTGGGATGGAGGCGGCTCCGGGCCCGGAGGGGTCTGCAGTGCAATCGGCTGCACTTGCTGCTGCTGCTGCTGCTGCAGGATCAGCTGGTGATGGGAGATCTTTGGAGGTGGTGAATGAAGTGGGATCTGCTGATGTTTTACTAGAGAGTGAGGTTGCAATGGAGAATATGAAGCTGTGAGGAAAGGGAAAAAAGTATTTATTAAAATTAACATTTATTTCTTAAAGTTCTGAAAATATTGTAAAATACCTCCAAAACTCTCACTTTAAAATATTTTTAATACTTTCAATATTTGTTTAAAAATATCTTCTTTGACAGCACACAGAACACAATAACAATTTATTAGGGTAGTATTTCAATTTCTAAAGCAAAATGCAGCAATGAACAAATGAATACGGCCATGCTTTTTACATATAGAAAGACACTTTCTATAAAGAAGTATCTAAATTTATCTTTTTGCTGCTAGGTCTAAGATTATTGCTGATCCAGCCTTATTTAAGAATTTCACACAACTTTAAATGGATTTAACCTTTGCTTTGAAACAGACTGGAAGAGAAATGATAAGCACAACAGGATTTGCTGATAACTGTTAAGTGAAACCTCAGATAATACCATGCTAAGAGACTAAATAAAATTCCAAGAGTTTAGTATAAATTTAAACCATTGAAAGCATTTGCCTGAACTTGAACACAGCAACTGAGAGGCACAAACCTAAAAATAGTGCAGCTTCCAGAGAAATCATCACCTTTAAGCAAACCAGTGACTCACCAGCCATTTCTTCCAGCACACACACATTTTCCTCCACATGCAAACCTCTTCTTTGTTTTATCCACTTGGGAAACAACTCATTTATGTAGGTTTTTTGATTTGTTCTGCTATTAACTATGGGGTTTTTTCTTACCAATGTGAATTCTGAGTGCAATAGAGCTCAATACCTCCAGAATGTCTGCCTCCAAGTCCCACTCTTTCTCTAAAAGCTGTCATTAAGCCAAGCTACATTCCACAGAATTCAGACCAATTGTCTAGACTACCATCACTTGTTCAAAATAAGAAAACTGAGATGCAAATATGCTGCATGCAGTGTAGTGCCTCTCTAACCAAGTACAGGTTATTTTGATTTATCTTGATACAAAATACTAAAATTTTAGCATTGTTACCTATGGGTTTATAAAAATACTTGATATAAGAACATTCACATGACACAGACAACACAGAAAAAAGAAAAAAAACACTAATAAAATGGATTTAGATGGGAGCAAGAGGCTTGAGGTGGTTTCAGCCCACATTTTGCTGCCCAGAGATGGGATGGCATGTCCTGACAATGAACATACAGAGAGAGAATGAGAATCATGTTTGTGCTGTGACTCAACAGGGTATTGCAGTTGCTATATTGTGCTTGTATTGTGATTTAAGAATGTTACTGCTTCTGCTTAATCAAAATCCTGGGCAACATCAAAGTGAATTTACTAATAAAATAAGTGAATTTACTAATAAAATCTGAACTCTGCTCACGTGGAATGTGTACAATAAGATGTCAGAGAACATGAAGTGTGGCAGCAGCACGTTCCCCACAGCTCCACCCGGACCCCACCTGGTGCAATGAGGTGCTGGATGCTGGAGGTGCGTGTGACGGCCGTGCTGCGGCCCTCGGGGGCGGGGCTCTCTCCTTTCCTGCTGCTTTCTGGGGGCTCTGAGCTGCCCTTGGAGCTGCTGCCAGCCTTGCTGGGGCACACAGACTGCGTTTGGCTGCTGCTCTTTGGTGGCCCATTCTGGGAACTTGACAACACACCCAGCTTCTGACTGCGCAGCGTCAAGTTCTGAACCTGGGAAAGGAGCGAAACGTGAAAAGAGCCAAACTCTGTAAATAGCCATGATAAATATCAGGCAAAAACAGCAAAAAAAAGTTACATTTTGCAATGCTTCTCATCCCATGTGATCACAAGAAGCTAAAAATCTGCATATCAAAGTATCTTTAACGCCATGAAATTTAGAGGATAAGGATCTTTATTACTTTAGTGATAAATACAGAAGTCTTTTTTCCCTTATTGGATTTTTAAAAGAAATGGAAATTGTTAATTAATTTGAATTAAAACTTTCATTTTCTCTTTTATTGTGCCTTCAAAAAAAGTGACACAAGGCATCTTAAGCAAAGGCAATTTTATTTTTACAGACACTGCAGAAGTGCAGTGGTTTGTGAGTGAGCTTCCAGACACCACCATGAACCAGAGCCTTGGGTGGTCAGTGGGACCAGAGTCTTCTCTGCTATCTGTGTGCTAAACAAAACTGAGACCTTTGTTTCTGTATTAACCTCCAAATCAACCAATATTAACCTCCCTTCTCATCAAGACACCTCCAATGTAACATGAAACAAAAGGTTTGCTTTCTGGAATGTACATCAGTCAGAGATCATTTCACTGAAGTCTGTTACCACACCCAGATTCTGCACGTAACATCCCAGATCTCCAATCCTATGTGCTGAGCTAAAATTTCATTCTCTAGGGTAATGCCTACCCTTGTAGCACTAATTTACATCATTTTTTAGGTGAAAAAGAGGACTAATTATTATCACCATTCCCTATTTAGATTACATAATCCCTGCTGCACACAACAGTTGGAACCTGTGTAATGAAGAGCCAGTTTCCATTTCATTCTCACTGCTCTGTGTGTCAGCACAGGGCACATTCAAACCCAAGAAAATCGTGTCTGCTTCCTCACTGGCACTCAGAGGCATTTACTGCCATCCTGCCCCAGTGAGGACAAATCCTTCAGCACAGCTTCACAGGCAAGGTCACTCAGCTGGAGTTTGGCAGAGCCACCCCAGCAGCTCATCTGCTCTCTGGTCTGGGGTGAAAGCAAAGCAAGAAAAACTAAAGCACAGAATTTCCTTACTTTTCAGTTTTGTCCCTCTTGGTGGGGCAGACCTTTAATCAGTTTAGACAAGCTCACCTGAGTAGCTGCAGACTGACAGGAAGATGAGGAGGATGAGGAGACAACAGGAATGTCAGACTGGACAGCAGCCACAGTGGTCGCAGGAGTGAAAATAAGCTGTTAAACAAGAAAAAAATACATGGTAACAAACTGAAATCTTAAAAATCTGTGAAAGAAATGCAGGATCTTAAAGAGATACATACTTCCACATACTGATGTGCAGCTTCTAAGATTTACTTTTTTACTTTTAGATTAATTTATTTAAAGAACTATTTGTCATGGTAATTTTAGTAAACCAAGAAAATAATAAAGAATAGAAACAAAGAAAACAAAGGAGAATAATGTAAACCAAATATAATATTTGTTCATATTGAGAATAATCTTTGAGGTAGATAAACACAGCTATGAACTTTCATACAAGCACATAAGAGGACTTTCCCTTCAATACTACAAATTAGTGGGAAAAAAAAATACAAAAGAGCTGCCCAATATCTCCCATATTTAAGAGAGAGAGCTTAGATCTTCCCATAGGGACAGAGCAAAGGCAAACTTTGCAAGGACTGTAATCAAACCTTACCATCTGAGCTCGTAGGTACATTTGGGCCTGGCTGGCACTCAGGGTGGGAGAGGTGCTGCCCAGCAACATGGTCTGCTGGGTGATGCTGCTGCTGGTGGTGTTGGAGCTCTGAGAGCGGCTGATTATCTGTGCAGGTGTAGGAGAGGTGGAGAGGTTAATCTAAGGAAACAAAAATATTGCTGCTGTCATGGACATTCCATCACCCTAGGGGCTAAAGCCAGAAAGCCCTTGATAAAAATGGCAGGGGCAGTTGGAGTCTCTGAACTGTGAAGATATCAAAAATATATTGAGCTAATCATCACCAAATTGGATTCTGGTAAGATTGTATGTTTTTATTTTTAAACTGCAAGCAACCACTTTGCAGTAACTAATAATAAGCAGTTATGAGTATAAACAATGATAGGAAGTCTGAAAAATATGTCTCATAGAAATACACATTTACTGAATATGTAGAATGAGATTTCAATATTTTAAGAAAAACACCTGAACTTTAATATTAAAGATCCTTACATGTATATATTAACTGCTTGGACTGGTATCTTCTATTATGCAGCCTGATCAGGACACTTCTTTGTGCCACCACTTATGGACTTTCAATCCTCATTTCACATATGCACACTAAAAAATGACTGAAGACTAAAACCTTCTCCAATTTCATATTAAATGCTCAAGAACCACTCCTTAGCATCTTCTTAAAAAAGAAGCTGTTGTGTCTTTGTTTTTTCTTTTTTTCTCTAACCAGTCTAACAGAGTTAAGTGCCCAGCTCTTTTTCATCACTTACTTAAAAGATTTCCTTGAAAAACCCCAGCCCAATTATTTTGTTAGTTTAACATCAGACATCTTAATAGAATTTACCTCCAAAGTTTAATGAATAAATGGTTTTACTTTTAACAACTGTAAACCAAGCCAAGCTATGAGAGCTTAAAAAAATACACAGTTAAATCACTGAAGCTATGCACTGGAGTCATGAACAGCTTGAGGGTGTGATTAATAAGCAGGATGTCTGCAGGACTAACAAATCCTACTTCAGACAGCTGTAAAACTGTACAGAAGATACTGTGCATGTCTGACAATGGAACTTAAAGAAATACAGCATGACCTGAACACAGAGCTGCTCACAACTGAAACCTGAGCACATGCCTAGAATATGGGAAGTGAAACTGCAAAAAAGATGAATGATAAAAGATGATAATCAATAAAAGAATGAATACTATAAACATTTAATCAGTATCATAAATATATGTGAGCATTGACTTGGATTCTTTAGATTTAGTGCTATTTAATCCCTGATACATATGATTTTCACCTACAGTAGTGCCCTGAATAAAGAAACTAATGTAGAAAATCCAGTAAGAAATCATGTAAGAGATGAGTGATTTCTGCAGGAGTTTGAACAGCCACTGGTGCTTGTGGAGTGAGCAGCTGCCCCTCAGAGCACCAAGAGGGGTCTGGCACTTGGGAAGCCAACACTGGCTGCCAACAATCACACCCAGCACCCAGCACTGACTACAGTCAGCACCCTGCTCACTGTGTCTGCAGTATTAACTTTAACAATACAAAGTGGAATGCTATTCGTTTTTTCTGCTTTTCCCTGTAGCCATATAAGAAGCAAGCAGGGTTGGGAACGGAGGGAGGGCTTGGTGCAGTTACGTACCGAGGTCTGCGACACGCTTGACTGCTGAGTGACACTCCCAGTGGGGGAAGGACATTGCCTCCCACCTGACAGGCTTGCCTAAATAGCAAGAATATGTGTCAAATAGTGAAATCAGAAAGTGCTTAAGTGATGTTCATTTTATTGCATAAACCATCAGAAACAGCCCTCTCTACCTTTCTCTGAGTTAACAGTGATGCTTTACTCAGTGGGAATAGAGGGCACTCTGCACTATGGGATGCTACCTGCAAGCTGCTAAGTTCCTCGAAGTCCTACCAAATTTCAGGCATATAATTCTTTCAGATCAAGACCTGAAGAAAAATAATCAGAGGTAAAGTCTGTCAAACTGCCAATGATGGAGCTAAGTGATCACTTCACTACCTATGGTGCTCAGAACTTAAATAACATAAAAACCGTCAATATTAAAACTCACATCATAATTTTATTGTGATTAGAATCTTCTAAAAGATATAAATGCTGTACAGAACAGCCTCATATTCTGGAATGGTAACTTATGTAACTGAAGTGTCTGTCACAGGATGCTCTTTCAGCCCTTCAGATGAGTAACAGGGACAGTGATTTAGGTTTCTGTATGAACAGAACCAAAACTTCTCAGCCTTTCCTGACCCAATTTTCTTTGCTCAGTAACTGTATATCTACATAGAAATCCATCACAACAAAAAAAGACAAATCAACATATTACCACAATCGAATGAAAAAGGTATAGAAGAAAAAGCCAGGAGCAAAAATGAGTCAGTCCAGCTCTGACACCAAACAGCCACAACCCTGAGGTCCATAACTCCATTTAGCATTTCCCTGTGTAAAATCATTAACAATCACCTCTCTCTGCAAGATCATACTCTCAATCCAAAGCAAACTGAGGTCAAAGGAAACCTGATTTAATTCAAAATGGGTCTCCTCCAGTGATCACTATGTTAAAAGCTGTGTTTCAGATATGAAATGCCATTTACCTCCTACATTTTCACACTCAGGGTTAAAATTTAATTTTGCCATTACTTCTAATGCAGCCAGATGTGAGGCAAAACACACTAAGATGCCAGATGTTCATTATTTTTTATTTCACTAAGATACAATGCCATTCATTGCTCCCCCCACCAACTTTTAGAGAAAATCATGGGATGAAGATTGAAGTAGTCTATTTTTAATATTTATTTTATTACTGCTTGATGATTTACATGATGCATTATAATGTATGCAATAAAGCATGGAATGGTTGCCTACTGGAGCATCTATACCACTGGACAAAATCCTCCAAACAGTTGGAGGATGATACAATTTAAAATAACAACATCATTACAATAGAACAGTGAATTATCACGAGGCATTAAGCTCAGGCACTTAAGCTGTTATAACGTTTGACAGTGACTGTAGCCCTGCTCTAGACAATTCCCGATTCTTTTTCAGCAATCTTCACTCTCACCTGTGGAACAGTTGCCAGACTCTGAAATTGGGTACTGCTTAAGTGCTGCTGCTGCAGAGCAGCAGTCTGCAGCATTAGGTGCTGCTGCTGGGCTGCATACATCTGCTGGAGGTACTGAGCAGCTGAGCTAGGAGGACGATGCAAGGCCTGCTGAATAACCTGTGATGAATCAGTAGGTAATTAATTACAATTACAAAGCACTCACCATGCTGACATGATATTTAAGTTTATCCTTACAAGGAAATAAAGCCAATAATTTTTTCACACCAATTATGTCATACTGAACTTGCTCCCTCACTGTCCTTGACCAAGTCACAGAGTATTGTCAACATCAACATATTCACATTCTCAAGGACAGCCTGACAATACAGCATCATCCCCAACACATCCTCCCAGCCTCTCAGCTGCTTGTCAACACATCCTACATCATGTTCTGCTTTCTGAGAGATCAGAGCAGTGGGTGAGAAACCCAATTATCAAACACAACAGAATGGACTGCACAGAGTTCAAGGAGACCTGATTTAAAGAACAGCAAGAGGGGGCTGGATCCCAAGCAGGACTTACCCACACAGATACCTTGGATCAAAGTTGGTCAAACAAAAACCTTTATTTTGCAAAAGTGTATGTTAATAATCTGCCCCCTCAGCAAATGGTGAACAAACTGAACTTCCTATCATAGCATTTCCCTTATCAGGGAGACAGGCCTACCCTGAACTACCCCTAAGTGGTCTCAGGCCCTCCAGTAAACATCTCCTGCAAACCAGCAGGCCAGCTGTGGAGAAGGCCAGCAGCAATAAGGAACGACAAGTTAACCCTGCGAAGAGCTCAGAGCTGTGTGCAGGACAGGAGGCAGCCCCAGGCCCAGTACCTGCACAGCATGTCTGTCGGAGCCGCTGTAGACGGAGATCTGCGGCAGCGGCGGGCGGGAGGTGGCGCTGCTGGTGACGCTCGTGGTGGGTGCAGAACATGTCGTTGTGCTGGGTTCATTCTCCATAGCTGAGCAGCGTTTGTCCAGCCTGCCAGGGGTGACACACAAGTGGTTCACAAGCAAGGCCACAACGTGCTGATTTTAGTGCAAAAACATGTTTTGCTGAGACAGAAGCATGGACTATTTCCAAAAGGTAAGTTTCACAGAATCACAGACCATCTCGTCCCACCCCCTGCCATGGCAGGGTCACCTTCCAACACACCAGGCTGCTTCAAGCCCCATCCAACCTGGCCTTGAACATTTGCAGAGATGGGGCAGCCACAACCTCCATAGGGCCCCACCAATCCTATAGTAAAGAATTTCTTAATAACTAATCTTAGTTTGTAGCATTTGCTATTACTTGATGCAATCTCTTGAGAGATGTAGTTATAATCTAAGATCCATCAAAAGCAGCAATAAAGAACCAATTTAGGAACACATCCAAGATTTCCAGCCAGCTGCACAGAACCAGTAGCACCTCCCTCACCCCCACAGCCCAGGAATGGATGTGCTGGCTGACCCTGAACACTGAGCAAAACCTGCTCTTGGCAGAAACCACCAGTGAAATGCTCTGTCTGGGGAGAGAGAAAAGGATACAGGAAAAACTCCTTTTAACAGCAATACCTCACACAATACAGCAAGAACCAAGGAAGAAACCACCTATTTAGGCACCTCAAATGATCCTCCCCAGCCTTATGCGGCTTCCCTCTGTTGCAGAGCACAAAATGTCATCTTTATAACTGAAATGAATCACAAACCTCAATATATGTTACGGGGGTGTTTACTGCAGTTTCTTTTTCAGTCTTTGTATTACGATTAAAAGGAAATCACAGAGTAGCTGTTTATTGCTTTCCAAAGGATGCCAAAAAAAGGGAGGGTTGAGAAGATGTTTCCTTCTTACCATAAAGAGGGGCTCAGAGAAATAACCAGAGAAAGCTGCAATGTACTATAAAAAAAAAGCAGCTTTGCCAAGTTCTTAACAAACCACCCATTGGGCGCTGCATCAAATGGGAATATAATCAGGAGTTTGAATTCACACAGCTGGAAAAGGAACAGGGCACTGCCAGGCTGCCACCCTCACCTCCCAAAACACACCTGCTCTGCAAGCAGAGGCTGCACATGGTGCTGCAGCTCCTGGGGACCTGCAACAGCTAAACTGTAACACACACACGGCCACCCAAACACCTCCTGCCTGGTATTGGACACTTGCATGGACACTTTGCCATGAAAGAAAACTTGTGGCAATCAAGGATGCTCTAAACACAGAGATGCTTGCTATTAGAACTGAAGAAAAAATATGATTTGTTGTTAAAAGTGCAGGTCTGTTGTGCATTACTGATGCCACTTGTGCACCTACAGCAGGGCACAAGTTAACACACTTAGGTTCCCACTCTAACTGCAATAAACACAGCATCACTTCTAAAACCACTTTACATTAATTGCACATAATGAAAAGTATCTTAAAAAAAAATCCTGTCTCCTCCAGTGGACATTAAAAGCACCTCAAAATACTTACACCTCCAACTAGCCTAGCTAGTTTTTGCAGAGTTATACAACCAGTTAAATTAGCTTAAAACAACATTAGATGTCTCATTTCCTTCATTCTTAGCCACATTTTTTGGTGTCTTATAAGCAAGACATGTAACATATCCCACTTATAACTATTCCATCACAAATTTACTCCATGAGAGCTGTTAATCCTTTCACTCAAAATTATTTCAAAAATAGTATTGTCATTGCTCAGGTTGTTCTCACAAAGGATGTACAACGAAAAAAGGATGTATAGTAAGGAGCTCCTAAATTTTTGCTCAGCATCTCCATCTTTCGCTGACACCTCACCTCAGGCAGGCATCAGATGCTAACTTGTAAGAAAATTAATTTTGTTTAACGATGAAGATCTTGCAATGATGCTCCCTGAGCAATGTTAACTCAAAACAAACTCCATCATGCAAAATAAGTTTCAGAAAACACACTGACTTGAAACAATCACTACACATTTAAGTGAACCCAAAATACAAAGCACAACAGAAAACTCTATTGAAAATATGTATTTATTCAAGCAGTAACAATACAAGATACCACATAACTTCAAGTTACATTGTGCATAAGGTAGATATTCCAAAGTTTTGTGTCTTTATATTTTTCTTAGTCAAAGCAACCACCTGAAGTAAAAAAAAAACCCAAAAACCTGCTGTCCTATACCAATTAACAAACTACCCTCACAGTGGACACACGAATGTCATTACTCTTGTTTTGGAAAGTTTCGGTAAATGCCATGGTAATAACAAACCCCGCTGACAACCCACATCCACAACCACAACCATCCACAACCACATGGTTTATTCTTTTTTTTTTTTTTCAATTCACAACCTCTCCCTGCAACTCCGAGAGAACAAACCACAAAAAACCCAAATTAAATAAAAATTTCCATCAAGCCTAACCCCTACAGGTATTCCGGTATTTGACAGAGGGCTCCGAAATAATAATAAAATCATAATAATAACGAAGGTATGCTCTGTGGGAATACACCCCTTGGCATGCGGAGCAGCGGCCCCGCGCTGAGGGGCCCCGGTGCCCCCCGGCCGGCCGCTCCCCGCCCAGGCCGGGCTGACCCACCCTGAGCCCCCGCCTCGCCCAGCCCGGCCCCGCCACCGCCCCCTCAGGAGAGCAAAGGCAGGCGGGCGGGAGGGGCCGGCCCGGCCCGGCGCCGGGGCGCGGTCAGGGCGCAGGTTCCCCGCCCCCGCGGCCCGGCCGGGGCCCCGCGGCTGCCGCTGCCCGCGCTCCGCGCGCCCCGCCGGGACACTCGCCTGGGACGCGCCGCTCAAGGCGCCGCCGCCGCCGCCATTTTCTCGCCTCCCTCACGGGGGAGGTGCCGCGCGCGCGCGGGGCGCGGCCGCCGCCGCGCACGTGACGGGACCCGCCGCCATGTTGGCGGCCCCCGTGAGGGGCCGGGGAATTGAAATATGCGGTGTTTTCAGCCCAAATAACCTATCGACCTCCCTGCGTAACAAAACAGGGAACTTCTTTCAAGTATCTCCTACGCTGAGCAGCTGTTGCTCAGACACTGTTAGCAGGGCATCCATCCTAATCACGGTGTGAGCATCTCTTTCCTTTCTGAGGCTTTGCTTGCTTCCTTCCACCCTTCCTGCCACTCACCAGCTCAAGGCACTGTGTGAATATGAGTTAATTATCCCTCGTCTCTCTTGCATCATGCCTCCTTTTTTAAGCACCTGATACATACACACCTAAACTCTTTACTGTAGTCTAAGTACAGAAAGTCTGTATTTGGATGACTTTGGGAGGTGCCTTCAGGCTAAATCCTCTGTGCCTGCCATGCCTGAGAGAGTTCAAGAAGTGTCTGGGCAATGCACACATGCACATGGTGTGGCTCTTGGAGATGTTCTGTGGAGGGTTAAAAGTTGGACCTGATGATCCTGATATTTCTTAGGCCATCACCACAGGAGCCAACCTGAGGGATCTCCACGGAAAGGTCGGATGTGGGGGCCACACTGGGGGATCCCAGAATGGAGTTTTGCAATTCCATTTGGAATGGAAGTCCATTTGATGGAGACTACTCAGAGATGTGGTGGAGTCCCCATCCCTGGAGGTGTTCAAGGAACAACTGGACATGACATTCAGTGCTCCGTTCTGGTTGACAAGGTGGGGATTGATCAAAAGTTGGAACTCAGTGATCTTGGAGGTCTTTTCCAGCCTAAATAATTCTTTGGTTCTAAGAAGGGAGGGGGGGGGAAATTGACAGATACTTAACAGCTAGTTGGGATAGCTAAGTTCTTTGCAAAGAAAAGAGACTCAGCAAGTGTCTAACAAAACTCAAATACCTGCCAAGGCATTAGAGATGAGCTTAAACTATTGACAGGTGAAACAGTTGCACTGAGCACAGGTGAGACGCCCATGGCAAGTAGTGACAACTCCTCAGGTCTAATGAGGATGCCTTCTTTCTATAAAATATGACATAATTCAGCAGGAGAAAATGAGAATTTTCATAGGTTAAAAATATAGGTGTGGGGAGAATGATGACCCATTTTGAATTACTCTTGGAAGTCCTCCAGGATTGCTTGCAGTGATAAGGTGGCTTATGATTTGCAGCTTTAATAGAATACCTTTTGTTAACCACCCTGCTTCACCCCCTAGTTCCTAATATCTAATCTAACCGTTCTCTCTTTAAATTTAAAGCCATTCTTTCTTCACTCCATGCCCTTGTCCAAGTCCCTCGCCGGCTCTCTTGGGAGACAACTTTAGGCACTGGAGGGGGCTCTAAGGTTTCCCTGAAGCCTTGCGGGCTGAACAACCTCTCAGGCTGTCTCCAGAGCAGAGGACCTTCGATTCTTGGACCTTTTCCTTTGCCTCCTCTGGGCTCGCTCCAGCAGCAACACGTTCTTCTGCGGACGGACAGACCGCAAAGCAGGACCCCAGCACTGCAGGTGCTCGGTATGAGGTGGAGAATCCCCTGCTGCCCACGCTGCTGGGGATCAGCCCCATCGGTACTTGAGTAGAACAGGTTTTCCTCCTTGGCTCCCTATCACGGCAGCCACCCGCGGCTGAGGCAC